AAATAAATAAATAAATAACTGTTCTCTTATCCCCATTCCATCTGTCCTGTTAATTTTACCATGTGAGGATTTTGGTTCTCTATCCTGAAGCATCTAAATCCCACCTGCAGGCCGAGCACGGTGGCTCACACCTGTAATCCCAGCACTTTGGGAGGCCGAGGTGTGTGGATCACCTGAGATCAGGAGTTCGAGACCGGCCTGGCCAACGTGGTGAAACCCTGTCTCTACTAAAAATATAAAAAATTAGCCGGGTGTGGTGGCAGGCGCCTGTAATCCCAGCTGCTGGGAAGGCTGAGGCAGGAGAACCGCTTGAACCCGGGGGATGCAGGTTGCAGTGGGCCGAGATCACGTCACTTCACTCCAGCCTGGGCAAAAGAGTGAGACTCCACCTCAAAAAATAAAAAAATAAAATCCTTGGCCAGGCACGGAGGCTCACACCTGTAATCCCAGCACTTTGGGAGGCCGAGGCAGGTGGATAATGAGCTCAGGAGTTTGAGACCAGCCTGGTCAAGACGGTGAAACCCCGTCTCTACTAAAAACACAAAAATTAGCCAGGCACGCTGGCAGGCGCCTGTAATCCCAGCTACTCAGGAGACTGAGGCAGGAGAATCACTTGAACCCAGGTGGCAGAGGTTGCAGTGAGCCGTGACTACACCACTGCACTCCAGCTTGGGCAACAGAGTGAAACTGTCTCAAAATAAATAAAGTAATTAATTAAATTAAATAAAACCCACCTGCAGATTTGCCAGGAGCCCCTGGCACAGCCCCAGACATTTGTCTCTGCTCCCCAATTTGCCACCCTGGAAATGGTCCCATGCTGCTGGTCCTGGCTGTCAAAGGCCTGTGATGACACAGGCAGCACAGGCGCTTGGTTGAGGCTGCATGTTGGAGACAGTCACAGAGGTGACAGGCAGCAGCCAGAGTGCCAACATGGCACAGATGCCTCCTCACAGCAACCTGCCAGACTGGTACCTGCCCAGGCCCCACATCCATGTCCATGGGATTCCATCAGGTGGAGGGAGGGGAGGAGACCCCATAGTTGGACTCAGGGACTGCGAAACCTCAGCCTCAGAGGAAGTTTACACAACAGCCCAGAGGCCCCAGAGGGCCACATGGCTCCAGACCCACCCGATCTCTTCTGCCCCTGCCTCTCAGGGAAGGGAGCCAGGCTGAACGGACTAAGACAACAGGGGCACGGCATGGGCCCTGGAACAGCCACAGTCCTCACAGGAAGACATGACCAGCCAAAAGCCTTGAAGGGTGGGCCAGCCATGGGGGTTAGGTGACCATTCTCAGTGCAGGCTTGGGAGCTGGGCAGCTGCCCAGACAGCAGGAGTAGGGGCATGCTCGGACCCCACATGAAACTTGCATCGTACCCACAAGAGTCCCCAGACAGCAGCCCTGAAATCGTGGTCTAGGGAGGTTTTGATGGCAGCAAAGGCTGATGCGGCAGAGCAGGGTCCGTACCTCAGGGCCATCAGTTGAGCTGTGAGTGACCTGCAAGATTCAGACCTTCTAAGGCCGAAAGCAAGCAGAGGGGCAGAGGCAATGCAGGCAGAGCCCCTCCTAAGCAACTCACAGCGCCCCAGTCCTCGCTGGGGCACCCACTGTAAGTGCTGTACGTTCACTTTACTTTCCGCCTGCAGAGGGTCCCAGCAACTGGTCCCAGCCCCTCCCCAGGGCCTCACAGCACCACATGATGCAATTACTTTCCTTATTGCTTCGGTAACAAGTCACCACAAACCTAGTGGCTTAAAACAACACAAATTTATTCTCTTTCAGTTTTTTGGTTTTGTTTGTTTTGAGACAGTCTCGCTCTGTCCCTCAGGCTGGAGTGCAGTGGTGCGATCTCGGCTCACCACAAGCCCCGCCTCTCGGTGCATGCCATTCTCCTGCCTCAGTCTCCTGAGTAGCTGGGATTACTCTTCTTAAAAAAAAAAGGAAACTCAAGATAATGGGCTGGGCGCGGGGGCTCACGCCTGCGATCCCAGCACTTTGGGAGGTCAAGGTAGGAGGATCACCTGAAGTTAGGAGCTGGAGACCAGCCTGGCCAACATGGTGAAACCCCGTCTCTACTAAAAATACAAAAATTAGCCAGGTGTGGTGGCGGGTGCCTATAGTCCTACCTACTCAGGAGGCTGAGGCAGCAGAATCGCTTGAACCTGGGAGGCGGAGGCTGCAGTGAGCCAATCATGCCACTGCACTCCAGCCTGGGCAACAGAGCGAGACTCCATCTCAAAAAAAAAAAAAAAAGAAAAGAAGGCGGCCAGGCGTGGTGGCTCATGCCTATTCCAGCACTTTGGGAAGCCGAAGCGGGTGGATCACCTGAGATTGGGAGTTCAAGACTAGCCTGACCAACATGGAGAAACCCCATCTCTACTAAAAATACAAAATTAGCCGGGCGTGGGTCCCAGCTACTCAGGAGGCTGAGGCAGGAGAATCCCATGAACTCGGGAGGCAGAGGTTGCAATGACCCGAGGTCGCACCATTTCACCCCAGCCTGGGCAACAAGAGCGAAACTCCATCTCGAAAAAAAAGAAAAAGAAAAACTCAAGATAATACTTTTTCCAGTGCCACGTCCTTGCTGTGTGCAGCCCCATGGCTATGAGACCAGCACCTCATCTGTGCCCACAGCCAGAGGAAAGCAGCCCTGAGTCAACCAAGGGCCAGGCCACTGAGGGCCCTCTACTCAGGAAGTGCAGGCCTGGGGAGAATGCCCCGGCCTCCCACACCGCAGTGGCTGGCTGTGGTTGGTCCCCAGGGCCAGTGAGCTGCCAGCTAGGCCAGGAGATGGGCCTGAGAGGACAGGCAGGGGGCGCTCAGGTCCCACCTCCACAGGGACTAATGTAAGCAGAAAAGCCTCCCAGAACCATGCACAGAACAAGGGGTGGGCCTGTTGTGTGGGAGATGGCCATGAGACCCCTCCATCCAGAAACAAGGGAGTTGTTGAGGTACCTGTATGTGGCAGGTGGATTCTCCTAGGTCAGTACCCCATCCTGGCTCCAGATCCAGCACGGACTCACTTCTCCCTGGCTGATGCTCCCACCGGGCACACCTGCAGCATTCTGAACCCCACCACGGGCAACAGGTCCAGGCAGCTTCTCCCCGGCCCTCCAGCCAGGCCCTGTCCCTTCAGCCTTAGATACAAAGTCTGGCTTGTGTGGAAGGAAAGGAGCCACCTAGGAGGCAGAGGACAATTTCCTAACACTCGGGAAACAGCTATAGCAGAAGCTGAACCCACTACAGTATCGGGCACTGGGCCCCACAGGCTTCCCTGGGCATCACGCAGAAAAGCCAAGCAAGACCAGACTACGGCAGGAGAGTCGGGTCCACCCTCAGCTCTGTCAACATAAATCAGGAAACAGCCTGCAGAACAGGAGCTGGGAAGACCTGTGTTCAGACACCCAGGGCCTGAGGCCAACCACAGCCCTCCCCTCTCACCTGACATCTTTGCCCACTATTCTGGGCACAGGCGTCCTGGCAGCCTCAGCTCCACAGGGGAGACTGAACCTGTGTCTGTTCAGAAATCAGCCGAGTGACCCCAGCAAAGAGGATGCAAAGGAAAGGTAAAGCCATGTCTTCCTCGAGGCTGGAACCCGGCAGGTCTGTGTTTCTTCCAGCTGCTGGCAATCAGGACTCCAGCTCAGTGCAGTGTTTCTGAACATGGCCCCTGCTGAGGTACTTCCTGCCCCTCACACACCAGGAGAATCACTGAGGAAGGACTCCTGGGGACGGAGGAATGGTAGATTCCCCAAGTCAAACAGAGGAGGAGAAAGGGAAGCTGGCAGATAGAACAAGGAAGGCCAATTAGTCCACAACCATATATGGAAAGTGTTGGAAGGAAAGGGGCCCCCGAGTTGACATTTAAAAAGCAAGCAGTGGCCGGCAGCGATGGCTCACACCTGTAATCCCAGCACTTTGGGAGGCTGAGGCGGGCAGATATTGAGGTCAAGAGATCCAGACCATCCTGGCCAACATGGTGAAACTCCGTCTCTACTAAAAATACAAAAATTAGCTGGGCGTAGTGGCACACGCCTGTAGTCCTAGCTACTCGGGAGGCTGAGGCAGAAGAATCACTTGAATCCAGGAGGCAGAGGTTGCAGTGAGCTGAGATCGCACCACTGCACTCCAGCCTGGCAACAGAGCAAGACTCTGTCTTTAAAAAAAAAAAAAAAAAAGCAAGCAGCCAGGTGCAGTGGCTCACGCTTGTAATCCCAGCACTTTGGGAGGCCAAGGTGGGCGGATCACAAGGTCAGGAGATCGAGACCACGGTGAAACCCCGTCGCTACTAAAAATACAAAAAATTAGCCAGGCGC